ACATGGTTGTGTACCTAACGACCGACGGGGACCGTAACGTGCCCATCCGAAGCACGGAACCATCTTGCTTTTCGGACAATCAGGTGGTTCAGCCTGCAATGTATCTACTAACCAGACTGGGAATAAGATATATAGGGTGAAATTTTACTAGTGACCGATAGCGAAAACTCAGAACTGACTGGTGATAAGGAACAACTTTCCCCAAGGAACATAGGTCGAAATCCGAAAGAAATTTTTTGGCCTCCCATAGTAATTCAAATCAGCTGATCGGTAACTTTGTATGGGAGGCCCAAAATTTTTTTTCGTATTTCGACCTATGTTCCTTGGGGAAAGTTGTTCCTTATCACCAGCCAGTTCTGAGTTTTCGCTATCGGTCACTAGTAAAATTTCACCCGATATATAAGTCTATGGAATAAATTCACAAAGGGATAAATATCAACTTTGTGAGTGACCCCACGGGGAAATGAACCCGGAACCTTCTGCGTCGCAGGCAGTCGTACTAACCACTGCGCCACATCAGCTGAACTAACAATCAAAAACACACATCAAAAGGACGATGACCATTTTATTACGATACCTTTTGGGTGAAATCTTAGGGTGAAATATTATTAGCTGTTTCTTTCTGGCGCATCGCAAATGAAAGGGACCAACTTTTCAGGAGAACGGGCCATTAATTAAAGAAAAAGACAAGAAATCTAGGAAGAAACGTCAATAGGTACGGGGACAATCCAAAACAGACAAATAATAAATAAATAAATATCCCTGGACGAGACACACAGCGCCATCTAGCCCCAAACTAAGCAAAGCTTGTACTATGGGAACTAGACAACTGATATAATACTTATATACTTTTTTTTGTAAATAAATACATATTATACATAGAAAACACCCAGACTTAACACAAATATTTGAAAATTGACTTTACAAATATTTGTGTCCAGTGGGAATCGAACCCACGACCCTCGGCGTAGAAGGTAGGTGTACTATCCACTACGCCATCGGGACAGTCAACAAACCCAAGCTTTTTAAATTGCCTCCGACACACACCATTTAAGTAGGTACTTACCTATGCGAAACCCAAGCGCCAAACTTATTACCTCAATGGGCAAGGAATATACATAATTTTAAGGGACCACAGGACCTCACAATCACAATGCACCACACCAGTAAACGATGACGCGTTGTCAACCGTGCAACATGCCTGGAATCACAAAGATAACATGCAGTTCGGGATGCTTGGCCGTAGTGAGTAGGGAGTAAGTATTTACTACTACATCCATGATGCTTGGAAAATGTAGGTAAAGTGTTTTCGTGATATCACTAATCGATAGATAAATCGTATATTGTGGTAAACTAACTTACAATCAGGCTGCATGGCAATAACCGCAATAACTTCCATCCACTTCCATATCCTAGCTGACAAAAGTAATAACTTTTTTCCTTTCCCGCGCAAAATATTTTATGTTGGCAACTGGTTCCAAAAAGACAAGGTTCTTTATGGCAACACAGGCGGAAATTGAAACAACTCACTCACTCACTCCCACCCAATGTTGCCAAATCAAGCGGGATTATATTCCCAATAGGGCATAACTTACAAAAAACTTGCTTATTTTTTACAATTTGTTTAATGTGAGTTTTTAAAGCACAGAATGCATCTGTGCCGTTTTTTACGTTTGCGTGTATTTTCGATGAAGTTAAATTCAATTTATAAGTGTGTATCGTTAAATAAATATTTAAAAATAGGTATATACCTGTATTATCTATGTGACTAATGTGACGTAATAGCCTAGGTTGAGTCTTTTTGTCAATGAAAACTAAAGTATGTTAGCATTCCTAAGTACACCTAAAATGACACAAAATAATAAATTGGGTTGGGCTACTGGTCCAGAAACTATGGACCGTGAATAAACTACTTTAATATTTTCAAACCTGAAAAGCTAGCCATACTCAGCTATTACCCTCCAGTTTATAGCGTTATGCGCTATCTGCCTTATAAATCTCCAGAAATATCATTGATATTTTCTTTGCTCGTTCATTCCATGGCACGTTTGTTTACAGAGTGACAAGATGTCAATCTATGTCAGCCTCTCAACTTTGACAGCTATCTCATAGAGCCGCGTAGTTCTCTATTAAAAAGTTATTATACTACAGCCCTTTACCTCTTTCTAATTTCTGACCTCCTGGTATTTGATTCTAAATTTATCTCGCGCTGGCACTCTTTCACTCCTCCTGGAAACGAGACCTCCGAGCCCTCCGAAGCCACAGGACTGCCCTCGTCGCCTGGACAAACCACTACATCATCAGGGCGACAAACCTCCACCATCAGCACTGGCAACTTGCAAGAAAACTGGCCACTGACAAACCTCAAGGTCTTTGAAATTCGAAATCAGAAAGAAGACTAGAACATTCTCGAACGCCTGGCAAGCATATATAAGGCGTGTCAAGCTGTCAAAAGGGCAGTCTTTACCAGTCGTTACTCTACTTCCAATTATCTAAGAAATAATAAAAGAAGTATAAAGACTAAAGTGAAGTAACAAAGAAAAGTGAAGTAAGTTCTGAAGCCTCAAGAACTCTGAAGCTTCAAGTCCAGAAGCCAAGAAGATTTGCCGTCCGTAAGCGTCCACGACGAGCTGCCAAGTCGCCGTCAAGCCTGAAGAACCCAAGTTCCTGCCGGAGGGTGATTCTACGCTGCGTGGGTCCGCGCGTCTTGTGGTTTCTCTCGTACCAGGAGGTTATTTGTATACGTGGCTAATAAAAGTAGTATTCCTTTACTAACTATCTTTTCCTGCCGCGGCCCCTCACTACGCGCGAGGGCACCAGGCTTGTTAGGGCGCCTACACACAGGACACTCTACCTACACCTACTCACTCACGCCCTCCGGGGTCACAGGCACTCGTGTTAGCGAGATCACTCTACCCTACCTAGCTACTAAGTTACACCTGCGGTTACCTCGGTTCCCTGAGTGCCGGTGCCTCTAGGAACCTGGGTAACACGACAAGTTATACTCACGCATGTTTCAAACGGATTTCCGATAACTTGCCGACAAGAGTCGCATCAGTGCGCACCCAGTGGGTTTATACATTGGTATATAAGCATTAAGCATTAGCTTCATGATTTGGTTTGTAGGTACTGTACACTGTACCTAGAGTGAACTAACCAAAGTTAAGTTTTACAACTATACGTTGTTATAATCGTCGCATATCGACGCCGCACACTCTACCTACCCCGCAAGAGAAAAAGGATTGATGTGTGTAATGTATGTCTGTGAAAAGCAAATCTAAACTATCAGAACTAGTAGAAAATCCACTAATATGGCAACACTTTATCGCGCGATCTCGAGCCATTTTCATCATTCATTCACTCAGTCTTCCGTCGCCTTTGTTTTCGGTTCGTTCCAGTGTGACCACTTTTAGTAGATTTCTACTTTTTTGGTAGATTTGAGACAAAGAGAACGATTATTTAGTAGTCTGACAATTTAGTAGTATTTTCAGTAGAAAATCAGTATCGTTTAGTAGATTTCAGTAGAAAATCAGTATTTTAGAAAATTTTACTCCAAAATCCAAGTATCTAGGCCAAAAAAGAAAATAAAATAGCAACACTGTATCACTATGAAGTCTTGCGTCGGGGATTTCCCGTAACTTATTGTTGTATACGGTGCTATTCCGGTCTCTTTTCTGCATACGTTAAGAAATCGCTAGCTATCTCTGTTATTTGGTTAATGCGGAGTTTATTCGTTCGTTTTGTTTTTGTTTGTTTGCGGACTTACGCAAAATCAACTTTTCAAAAAGAATTAATGATTCAAGCTATGAAAAAAGATGCAACATTAAATAAAAAGAATGTTAGAAAGGATGATGAGAATAAATAAATCAGTGTAAAATACATAATATTGTTCAAAATTTTTTATTTTACATGCCAAATACCTTGAAAAAAAATAATTATTAATGTTAGAACAGGCTAATTAAAGAAAGGAAAGAAGGTAGAATTTTAGTAGAATTTAAAACTGGGGTTGGTAGATTTTGGTAGATTTTAGCAACTTTTTTGGTAGATTGTGTGATTCAAAAGTGGTCACGCTGGTTCGTTCGGTTTTAGTTCGTTCTTTTTTTATTTCTGTTATTTTCTGCTGGATGGACGCCACGCTGCTTCTGAGGCAACAATAATATTTACTTCAGCTGAACCTGAGCAGTTTTAGGGTAAGAAAAAACTATATTTTTATATGGCTTTTTTCCTCCACGCATTCACGAAAAATTTCACATGCATCGAAAGTCGAAACTGCATGTTTGCAGACTGCAATGCAAAATCATCACATTTTTATGTATTTTTTCTTGTAAAGAACTACTGATATGACAGCATATTAAAAATACCTAATCGGCATGTATTTTGGCGTGATATGTTATTTTAGTCACTGAAACTGAACTCCACTCCAGAAAGTTAATTACAAACTTGTTGCACCCGCCGACCATGAATTCCGCCATTGGCTATAAAAGTCTTGAGTGAGGGTATTGTAAAGTATTGTAATTTTGACGATGCAAACAAAATACTGAGTAGGCCAAAGCTGAAACAGCAAAATCGTATAAAGCACAGCGTCATATTCCAGAACCAGCGTTGTTTGAATCAGTCTATCGATGAAAATATAAGAAAACAAGTTTAGACAGGTAGAGATGCATTCCCATGGGATGTTTTGTGAATAGCACTATGATAGTTTCCAAAATAGGGCATAAGACATCTGATATATTTATTAGTACTTATGTAGGTACTGGTCAATTTACCTACAGTCAACTTCATTACATGTGAAATCAAAAAGTTTACCCTGACTGAGTCTTGTAAATTAACTTTTTGACCTACAAACCATAACAAGATGCCATAGCTTGGTTAAATGCCAAGCCTTCCATACAGTTCTTCCGTCCCTCAATCCAGTCCATCTTCCAATTATTTAAAGTATCCTAAAGGTCTATTGGGATTTCAATTCTCACAAATGAAAATAAGAAGTTGGAAAAATGACTTGCATTGACTAGGGATGGAACCCGGGCTGCAGGGATAAAGCCCCACTGCTCTGCCACTGAGCTATCAATGCACTGATTGATGAATGCCAAATCTTCTACCTCTTGATGCTAGTCTCCAAGTGACGATCCAGCAACATCTGTAATCTGTGCATCAATAGCTCAGTGGCAAAGCGGTGTAACATTTGCCCTTGCGGCTCGGGTTTGATCCCTGGTTTATGCGTGACATTTTCTTTGAGGTATTTATTATTTTCATTAGCCTAAAGGTTTATATAATGAGTGAACAAGTTCATGCCTTTGAGCAACTTTCTTCAAAGAACATGGTCGATGGATGGTCCAGTTCGAGAAATCACTAAGTCCAGTATCATATCTGTTGAATTCTGAGCTAATCTTTTTGAAAGCAATATCACAAATTAGTCAAAAAGATGACTAAGTAATTTCTTGAGCCTGGAGCATCTAATGGAAAAGAATTTGGCCATCCTTTAGAAATTGACCTTGCCAATGTGGTAATTTAATATGGAATATCTAACATAATTTTTTATACTTTGTTTTTAAAAGTTATTTCCGATGTCCCTAGTGTAACTTGTAAATTTTATGGCCTGGTACCTTTTTAAGCCCAAGTTCACTAACAGATGATTGATTATGTATAATTATACAATGTCCACTTATGAGTCTAATAAAGCCAGGTATTCATTACTTTGTATACTATATAATGTATCTGGACATACCAATCCACATTTTTAAACAATTTTTTGGAACAAAGTTCCCAAAGAAAAAGCGTCCACATTGGGAACATTGTCCGGATACATTGTATAATATGCAAAGTGTCTTGGACTTTGTCCCCGATGAATACCTGGCTTGACAAGTAATCGATGAACATTTTCTTGGTGTCCACCAACACTTCAGACACCATTGTTAGAAACAAAGTGTTTCTGAATGATATTTAATGAAAGACCCAAAAGTTTTAAATGATTTCTTTGCTGTTACTAAACTATCTAAGAGCAGTGTCCAAACATAGTGTAACATTTATATTTATTTCAAAACATTACATAGTAACAGGTTACCTTAAATCTATACAAGTAGGTATATAAAACAATGAGATCATATTGAGATCAACTTACTACTTACAACATTGTTTGTTATACCTAGAAATTGAATGTTCCTTTCGCCATCTGGACATATGCAAGTATAGCCTTAGCGGCTCGCTGGCCGAATCTATGGAACATGCTGCACCTGAGAGAAGAGTTCTGAAATTTGGTACACTTTATCTTTAGGGTCTATGAATCGATTTGACCCGTAGTACACAATTAAAAAAAAATCCTATGAGGAGTAAAGACGTCATCTTTTTTTTGTATGGGAAAAAAAAATTTTTTGTTCCAAAACTTATTGCGTGTGGTATCAAATGAAAGGCCTTGCTAAGCCGATTCTAAAAATATATCACATTATTATATTTAAGTCACTTGTATAAAATTAAATAGGAAATAATTCTCGAAACATGCCACGTTTGGGCTTCTCCAGGTATGATACGGTTGAATCATTACTTATGAAATATACGTAATATAATGTGTAATATCCTCATCTCTAACCTCAAGAAAGGTACTACGGATTTTTTGTCTTTAAGTATTTTTTTTTTGAATTTTAAAGTTACAGAAATTTATGAAAACACACTTAGTTGAAATTTGGCATCGAAAGTTCAATTTTGGTTACCGAGAATGATAAAAATAAAGCCAGATGAGATTTTAATTATATGTACATCATATTCGTTTTGCAAAAATAACATGTTATGTGCTTCGGAGGGCACGGTTAACCCTCGGCCCCATCGTAGTCGCTCTCTATTAATAATTATACGGCGGCGGTCGGTCAGGGTCGATAGATACGGGCCGAATAGTAACAATGGTTCATCGGGTCGTTCGTAGACTCGGTGTCCCACTTGACAGAACAAGATTTATTAATTATAAGATAATAAATACAGATGCGAGAGGAGTTTTGGTTCATCTTTATAATTTTCATTTGTCTATACACACATTATTCCCACACCAGCATCCTTACATTTATTCCCAGGGTATCCATCACCTTCATAAGCTATTTGCCAGCAGAAATGTCCCGCCATGCTAATTATTCTTTTCCTTGAGGCCATATGTATATCTCATGTACCTATTTAAGCTGGGCTATTTTTGGTACTCCTGATGGTCTACATCAGGTTTTCAAAACCGTTGATTTCTAATTGCTAGCAGGAGGGCCAAATCAAGCTGAATTATTTTTTCTTCGAGGACGTATACGTATCTCCTGTAGTTCTTCAAACCATCGATTTATATTTTCCAGCAGACACGTCCCATCGCGCTAAACAATTTTTGCTTTGGGACTATATAATATGTGTCTCCTGTAGTTTCGCTGGGTTCTTGGAGGTGCACCAGGTAGTCCACATAAGGTTCTCCAAACCTTCGATCTATGTTTGCCAGCAGGAGCATTCCATGATGCTAAACAATTCTTGCTTTGGTGCCATAAATGTATTTCCCATTGTTTAGCTGGGCTCGTGGTTGTGCTTCTAGTGGTACACATCAGGTACTCCAGTCTCTCAAGTGGAGAAAAAAAGTAGCCTTTACCTTCTTCAATGCGATAGCAATCTTTGTACCAAATTTTATCAAAATCCGTTCAGTAGTTTTTCAGGATGCTGTCTCATACAAACATCTAAACGGAAAAAATATGTAAAAATTTTGAAACGTGTTTTGTTATCAATTTCAAGAATTCGCTGACAATTTATTTTCCAATATCTTTTATGTACAGGCTTTCGACCTTCTACAACTTTATTATTATGTATAGATTCCGTTCATTTTGCCGGTGTGTATAGAGAAATGATCACTTTAACCATCCATCGAAAACTTCTCTCGCATTTGTATTTATCATCCTATTATTAATAAATCTTGTTCTGAAAAGTGGAACACCAAGTCTACGAACGACCCGATGAACCATGGTTACTATTCAACCCCTAACTGACGACTCTGACGGACCGCCGCCGTCTTATTATTCATAGAGAGCGACTGCTATGAGGCCGAGGGTTAACCGTGCCCTCCGAAGCACATAACATTCTTTTTGCAAAACAAATATGATGTGATGTACATAATAATATGATTGTAATCTCAACTGGCTATATTTTTATCATTCTCGGTGTCCAAAATTGAACTTTCGATGCCAAATTTCAACTAAGTGTGTTTTCATAAATTTCTGTAACTTTAAAATTCAAAAAAAATTACTTAAAGACAAAAAATCCGTAGTACCTTTCTTGAGGTTAGAGATGAGGATATTACACATTATATTACGTATATTTCATAAGTAATGATTCAACCGTATCATACCTGGAGAAGCCCAAACGTGGCATGTTTCGAGAATTATTTCCTATTTAATTTTATACAAGTGACTTAAATATAATAATGTGATATATTTTTAGAATTGGCTTAGCAAGGCCTTTCATTTGATACCACACACGATAGGTTTTGGAACAAAAAATTTTTTTTTTCCATACAAAAAAAATATGACGTCATTACTCCTCGTAGGATTTTTTCAAAATTGTGTACTACGGGTGAAATCGATTCACTTACCCTAAAGATTAAGGGCCTTACCACAAAAAAGTTAGACCAGTGTTGAGCGCGTGTCTAGCGTTTTTTTTGTATGGAGTTTTATTTTAGACACGCGTTCAACACTGGTCTAACTTTTTTGTGGTAAGGCCCTAAGTGTACCAAATTTCATAACTCTTCTCTCAGGTGCAGCATGTTTTGAACTACCGCTAGGACTAGTACTGTAGACTTAAAGAAGCATGTGAGTCTACTAAATTCGAAGAATAAGAACAAAAAATCTTAACCTTCACAAAGTTCCTGTTGACTGTACCTTAAGCCATGGGGTCATCGTAAAATGTTCGTGCTGACTAAATTATGGGCATCACTATACCATTTTTTGTCGAAGATTTTTGACCCTTTTCACTCGTAAACCACTTATGGGTTAATGGTCTTAGTAACATCAAAAGAAATACTAGGACAAGGCAGTCATAAAATGTGAAAGTTATTGACTAGCATAGAGCCATACTGTAATAAAAGCTGTCTAATTTCCTAAGGTAATTTATTCATCTCAAATATTTATTATAATTTTTCAAATTATCTTACTTGGGTGGGAGTCTGTTTAATAGTTTTTAATTATAAGCTGTGTTTCTCAATTAATATATTTTGCTAAATAACAACTTGTGTATCTAACAACTTTACTCTTCTCCTATATTCCTCCTACTTAGTGGTCTTTCATTTGTTTAAATCTTTCATACATTATTATCTCATTGTAATTCCTTCACATTTCTGTATTGAAAGTGTGCAAGTGTAACCTTGTCATAAGATACATATAAAAATCGTAACTAACCAATGCCTACAATAGTTGAAATGCAATGCGAAGATTCAGCATAATTGAAATAATATGGAACTATAGTTATTCCCCGAAGTAAATTATGTTACTCAAGATACTATGTTTTGTAGAACAAGTACCTGTCTTATGGTATAGTTATTCTATGAAACCTGGACAAATGTAATTTATCAGTAACTAATTTCATGAGACTATCTATTTATTTACTTGTTTAGCCTCAATAGATTCAATTTATGTTGACCGATCACTCAATTCCCTATTTTCTTTATTATGAAATCTTATATAACCTGATTCATAGAATAAAGGGACCCAAAATGGCAATATTATTGTTCGCATCTTTTTCATATAATACATGATATTTGAGCACGATGTCAACAATGATGTTGCCATTTCTGGTCCGTTTTTCTATGAATCAGGTTATACCTAGCCTTCTCCTGCCAGGTAGACTAGTAGTCATCACATGATGTGATGATGGTAATGATGGTATCTTAAGGAACTCTTCATAGTTGTATTGTAGTGTTCCATATTACTTTTTTGCAATATAGTGAAAAGTACCATGAATGAACCATAGAAAATTGCTCCTTTTGTTCCTAAATATTCTAAATACTGCAATCTTTATGGAATGATGCATTGTTCCTATAGCTTGTCGGCAGTAATAATCACAAAAAATAAATAT